TCCTCCGCTTCCCGGGTACGGGGCCTGCTGACGCCCGGAGGGAACGGGGGGGAGGCGAGGGAGTCCCGCTAGGCCGGGCCGCGGCGCCCAGTGTGGCCCCCGGGGGGGTGCGGGGGCGCCATCCGAGGGCTCTGGTGGCACATCCGGCCTCTGACCTCCTCCCGCCCGTGACAGATTGACCCCCAGCCTCGGACAGACCGACCTCCTCCCAACCCGTGACAGGCGGGTGGACCCCCTTCCCTGGGTGGACCGACCTCCTCTCGCCCGTGACAAACAGACATACCCCCACCCCGGACAGACCGACCTCCTCCTACCTGCGACAGACAGATAAACCCCGGCACTGGACAGACCGACCTCCTCCCGCCCGTGACAGGCAGATAGACCCCCATCCCTGGACAGACTGATCTCCTCCCACCCCTGGACAGACCAACCTCCCACCCGTGACAGACAGACTGACAGACAGACCCAGACTGACATGCCCCCCAGGACAGATGGACACCCCTTCGGCAAGAGCAGCGTGGGGCAGCATTCACTCCTTCTTCCCCTCTTTCCTACAGATAGAACAACGGAGATCGGGCAGCTGATCAGCTCCTACCTGATGAAGGAGAAGAACCTGGAGGACCACACTGTTCACCTGCTCTTCTCCGCTAACCGCTGGGAACACGTGTAAAGATAATGTTTGTTAAGTTGTAAAAGAAAAATGCGTGGCACTGAATCCTCCTGGGGTTTTAGCTTGCAGTGGGTACAGTAGGTACAAGAGTGTGATCCTGTTTAGCAAGGGAAACATGGCTGGAAGCAATGTCTCAAGGACTCCTACAGCTTTGGATTTAGTCTTAGATCAAATCCCACAGTTTGGTTTTTTGAAATCATTAGGTGTGTAGTATTTCCAATCCCTGTGCCATACTGGATTCAAGAACTGGGGAGCCGAGACTGTACCAGCCTAGACTGTGAATTTACTTTCTTTCCTGAATGAAGAGATGTTGCTTTGCAAGGAAGTCCATGTGAGTGACAGAGTGGTTAAGGAATTGTGTCCAAACTTCCCCTCTAGCTTAAGGCTGCATTCAGCTGTAAGTGGCTGTCCTTGCTTTTAGCCCCTGAGTCTTTGCGTGTGGAGCTAGGGAAATCGGTGTCAGCTGTTGTTTTTACCTGGAAATCTATATTGCAAAATGTTTTCATTTAAAAAAAAAAGCTTTGCTGATTCTGCTATAAAGAAGTGTAACTATTTTTTTTTTTCTTCCACGTGGTTTTCAGACCGTTGATGAAAGAGAAACTACATCAAGGGATCACACTTGTGGTTGACAGATATGCCTTTTCTGGAGCGGCCTTCACAAGTGCCAAAGAGGTGAGTGAGACCTACAGCAGCCCCTGCCTCTCTCTGTATTTGGGGAAGCAGCTCCAGTTAGAGGCCTGATACAGATGTTGGTGTGCATGGCCAAGGCTCCAGAGGACTGGGGAAATGTGGATTGAAATTGAGGGATGGAAGTTTCAGCTCAGGTATTGACATGGTCTGTTTGCTTGGGTCTACCCCTTCCCCAGAAAGAGCAGAGAAACTCATTTGGTTACTTTTTGTAAATCTGAACAGAATCCTGGCTGTGGGGAAGCTGGCCCATTTGATTCTGGAGAATGATTATGCGAGTTTACTTGAGATTCTCCACACTTGCTCTGGCTGCTGGCCCATAAATTTGCAAAGAATAACAACCACATACGTTGGAAGGGACCTGTGGAAGTCATGAAGACCAACCTCCTGCTCAAAAGTAGGTCTAACGTCAGGCAGGCTGCTCAGGGCCACATTCAGCCAAGGTTTGAGTATCTCCAGGGATGTAGATCCACAACTTTTCTGGGCTCTTTTTTCAGTGTTTGCCCACCCTCATGGTAAAAACTATTTTCTTCATTTAGCCTGAACTTTGCACGTCCCCACTTGTGCCTTTTGGCCTGTCTCTGCTTTCAAGACAAGTCAGCTCTGTCAGCCTCCCTCTGTCGGCCTCCTCCTGAGTCTTGTGCTCTGAGGAGGCTGTCCTGGAAGATCAACCAGCTCTCCTGGGCCTCTTTGCCTCTATGCGAGTTTCCCAGGGCATCCTGCTAAGAGGTCCCTAATAAACAGAAACCTGCTCTCCTGAAGTCCACACTGGCGATTCTGTTTGTCTTGTTGACTCCTCTCAATTTTAAACCAGTGTCTCATGTTCACTGCAGCCAAGGCTGCCCTTGACCTTCACATCTTCAAGCAATTCTTTCTTGCTTGTGAGTAACAAATCCAGCAGGGCATCTCCCCTTGCTGGCTTATCGATCACTGCATCAAGAATTTCTTCAGCGTGCTCCAGAAACCTGGATTGCTTGTGCCCAGCAGATAGGCAGGTGGTTGAGATCCTCCATGAGTATGAGGACCTGCAATTGTGATCCTTCTTCCAGCTGTCTAAAAAAGGTTCCTCAACACCCTCTCTTCAGCCAGGCAGTCGGTAGCAGGCCCCACCCCAACATCACCTGTGTTACTCTGCCTCAGTTGTGCTGCTTTCAGGTGAGCCTCCATTATTGTATCATCCCCCAGATGTTTCCTCCTGGCCTCCCATCTTCAGTTCTCTACAGATTGCAAACCTTGCCCTGACACACCTAGTTTAACGCTCTCTTCACTGGCTTAGCAAGTCTGTTTCTATAGATACTCTTGTCCCACTTCGACAGATGTATCCCATTCCTGCTCAGTAGCCTTCGATCCTCAAAGAGTGTCCTGTGGTTGTAGAAGCTGAAGCCTGCCTGCAACACCAGCTGTGCAGCTGAGAATTGACCTACGTTCATTCCTGCCCAAGTCTTTCCCCCCTTCCTGGAAGGACTGAGGAGATCCTGGCCCCCTGTGTCCTGCACCCTCACCTCCAGTCACTCTTGATACATTTAAGATCACCGTGATAGTATCGCTGGTGCCCCTGTGGATGAGCAGTAAGTGGACAAGCTTCAGTGGTCTCTCCACAATATTGTGGATTCACATGCCCTGATGGAAGTCAGTAAGATTCAAAAGTTGGAAAGCTTTGTCTCTTGTGTCTGGACTGAAATTCCTGGGTAGGCTGAGAAAGCAAAGGGTAGGTATTTGAAAAGGAGTCTCCATGGGCCCAGAAAGATCCACACTAAAGCTGCATGGTGTTTGTATTTGGGAGCAGCTTTCTTTTGGACTGATCGCAGTTTTGGACTGATAACAGCTGTATGGAGACTCAGAACATGACTCGGTATTTAGCTCTGATGGGCTCTGCAGAAGAGATGTTAAAATCTTTAGCTCTCTTTGACTTCAGTGAGCACGAGGTGCACAGCACCTAGCAAAATCTGGCCCCCCACAACTACCAGGACTGAATTCTCACATGATAAGCTGGGATATCTCCTTTTCAGTTTGTAGGCCTGTGCTTAGTGTTTTGGGCTGCATCTCTTCTCTGGCTGTTCCTTCCCCACTTCTCTCTCCAGCTAACTGACTTCTTTCCCTTCTTCGCATTACTTTCTTTCACCTCAAACTCGGTTGTCTTTGTTTGGGACAGAACTTCCGCCTGGACTGGTGCAAACAGCCTGACGTTGGACTCCCAAAGCCAGATCTGATTCTGTTTCTCCAGTTAAGTCCGGAGGAAGCAGCAGAACGAGGGAACTTTGGAAATGAACGTTATGAGAACAGCTCCTTCCAAGAGAAAGTTCTGCAGTCCTTCTATCATCTGATGAAGGACAAGACATTAAACTGGAAGGTGAGGAAATAACCCTAATGGGTCTGTCACAGACCAGGGTGGGGGTCTCTCATGAGAGCTCCCACATTGTGCCCATCGCATCCCTCTGCTCCCCCTTCCTGCTCCTGCTCAGGGGGACACGTTGGGGACAAGCTAAGGGCAGCATGGCCTGTAGAAGAGAGGACACCTCCCCGTTCCAGGACACCCTATGGGGCCCCATTAGGGTGGGGGGAAGATTTTTGGTTGGTTGGTTGGTTGGTTGGTTTTGCAGAAGAGTTTTCTGGCATTCTCTTTCTTAAAGACAAACTGACAAACCTGGGTAAGAAGCAGTGGGACACACCCATGCTCTTCTGCCTGTTTCCTTGGCATCCTGCAGCATCTGCCAAGGATTCTGGAATCCTTGGAGGTTTTTTGGGGCCCCTCCTGCAGCTTGTGTCTCCCTTACTGATGATCACCTTCCTTCTCACATGGCCAGTTTCCATCAGCTTTTGCTATCTTACTGCTACCAGAATTCTCTCCAAATACATGATCTTTTTTGTTCTACTCTGCTGCATCACTTTTCCCTCTTGTTCATCCCTTGGAGCTGTTTGCAGAGGGCTGCAGAGTCAGCAGCTTTATCCCAGAAGAGGAAGCATTCCCCATTTATCCTGTGTAGATCACCTAGGCTGAGGTTTTCTAGTGCAGGCATCCTGTTTATCATCTCCATCACCATGTCAGTGCTCAATCATGAGATATAGGCAGCATCTTCTATTTATTCTGTAGCTTTCACACAGACATAGGAGGACACAGATTATGGGTAAATCTCCAGAAGCTGGAGACGTACACAGATTTGCCAAATGATCAGACTGCGTAAGGTAAACAAAATTCTTCACAGCCTGTTTCAGGTAAACATGATTCTGTAAAAGTTTTTTTGTGTACTGTCAGAACCTAAAGGACCTAAATGTACAACAATCACCAAATTAGGACTTTTATTCCAGTAAAAGTTATGCTAGGAAATTGCCTTTCCTACATCATAATGACTGGAAAAATAGGCTGACAGAAAACATGTACCATAGCACAAAACCCCAAAAGCATTCATTTAACAAAAATAAGTATGCTGTCATGAAAGACAATATGGAATTTGTGTGTAGTCTGTAAACCCTGATTTTTTTCCAGAGATTCCAGCAGTGGAACACATTTCTATTACTTGTTTTCTGTTATTTGTCTTCTATCCCTTGCTTGAAAGGGGTTTTCACTTAAAGTATCAGCAATATGTCTGTTTAAAATACTCCAAAGTGCACAACTATCAAACAGCTATATATCAAAATAGATGATGAAGAGATGACAGGTGTCCCTGAAATGAGCACGGAAATCCAGTTTCAGTACACATTAAAGGTATAGTTAGCATTCCTGTCTCTTTGCCCTTCAGTATCGGCTAGAATAACAGACATCAAACATTGCCAAAGAACTATTTAGTCCAAGGCAGGAAATGCAGCTCGATACCATCGGTTACACAAATAAATTGAGATCAGCAGGCTGCTTGAGGATATTGTGTGAGCACAAAGGTGGGGTGCTGGCTGTGCTGTAATGAAGAGGCTAACATTTAATCATGAAGTCTCTTTATTGCATATCCTCACAGCCTGATCTTTCTCAGCAATGGTGTGTGGGCCAGTGTTGCATAGGTCACTGTGATAAATCTGCACCTCTACATCTTTTCACCAAATCCTTTCTTCACTTTGGTCACTCCCTCAACTACACAGGAGCAATGCTGCTATTTTTGAAACGTCAAGCTGAGGAACACCAGCATCGTATATCTCTACCACCTTTACTGACCTCAGCTTTGCTGAAACTGGAACATCACATGATCGATTTTTAGAGGTTCCTACTATCATGGGTGGAGTTTATTTTGAAGAACCACTGAAGGATCAATACACTGATGTTTCTGGGGGACTACAGTACAGGATGAAGAACATTTAATAGAATCATAGAATCATTAAGGTTGGAAAAGACCTCTAAGATCATCGAGTCCAACTGTCAACCCAACAC